GGTGTTAAAACTAGCTTTTTAGCAGCTTGTCAAAGGTTCAATAAGGGAAAAGACATTATACTATCATTCTACAATCATTACCATTACCATTTTTGATATTGTAATTGGGGAGCACATGTGATCTCAAGGGCAAGAGACGAGGCTTAAAGAGGGAATGTACATCAAAGAAATGTATATCTTCGCCTTTGTAAGGTGGTACGATTTACAGCTGAGGAAGCAATGCCCACACTCCTTTGCTCCTGCTCTTCCTTCTCTCATTGCTGTTCTCAGTGTCTGAATTGATTTCTGTGTGGGTAACTAAAACCCGCTCAGGCCCACAAAGGTTCCCTCTGAGGCTGAATTTTTCTCCCGTTGGCTGCTAGAGACAGAATTGAAAGGTAGAGTATAAGTTAGCAGATCTGTGAACTCTGACCCCCTGAAAGCCCCCGTAAACCTGTTTTCCCTGTGCCTCTGTGGGTTCTCCTCGAGTACTCCGGCTTCCTCCCACAGTCCAAAGACATGCAGCCTAGGTTGATTTGTGACTTTAACTGGTTGTGTGTCACTGTGTTACACTGGCAAACTGTCCAGGGTGTATCCCCTCTCTCACCTAATGTCAGCTGGGATTGGCTCCAGCTCCCTACGACCTCTACAGGATAAGCAGCACAAATAATGGATGGAGGGAGTCAAGCCAAGTTTAGTCACCTAAAGGGGAGAGAATAAGGTTGAGATTATGAGGAAAATGTGGAATGAAGTTACAATGGAGTAAGAGAGAGGACATGGCACCTGGCTAGAGAGCCAGAGAGGAATGCTGGAATCCAGCAAATAGGGATAACATTATTATTCGTTTAGAGCCATGTTCCTGGCCACCCGTTGAATGCAAGTCTAATATTTTCACCTCTTTCAGGTCTGTTTTGGTTTCCACCAACTCATGAGAAAAATGCCTGGTTTCACTAATTGTTGTTTGGTATTGGACAGGTAGACTGTAATAGGAGCTTATTTGTGATGGAGACAGCTGCCTTTTACTGTAGGAAATGTTGTTGAAGAGAGCGGTGGGAGTGAACAAAAACAACAATCAGAACAGTGAGCTGAAAAAACAGTGTAGACCATAAAGTAACGGCCAAGCTGTGCGCTATGAGTGACTCCTTTGACACTGTATGTAAGGATAAAGATAAGGATAAAGGCTAGTGAGACCTAAAATCAGATAGTTGTAAGAACCTGGAATTATCCTTCAATATTAGGATATCCTTGTCAAAATTTAGTTTTCAGACCTCCATTATTTCAGGTTAGAAAACTTTCTCACCACACGGGTTGTTGTAAAGCCACTCTGTGGCTTCGGGGTTTTGTTTGCCTATTCATCAAGGATTTGTAGCTGTTCAAATGTTTGTTTTTCTGAACACTTCAAGATCACATGATAAAGATCATTTGATATGATCCAAACCTCCAGAACAAAGAGGCTGTGCAGTTTCGAAGGTTACAAATGAACATGTAGACTCAGCTTTGTTATCTATCCCAAAATGAATTTGTTTAAATAAACTGCCTCACAGAAACACTGGACCATGCAGTGTTCCAGCACAAAAAACAAAGTGGGAGGGACAACTTGGAGGGTTAAGCCAGTCACTGTTGGGATGGAAACCACAAATCAGAAACAATTAGTCTATAGCAGGTGCGAAGACTGCTGGGGATCATCTCTCATGGACATATCCCCAATGGGTTTCTCATCATGGGAACACACAGGGAAGGATAGCGATGCATAAAGAGGGATACAACTGAATCTAATTCCAAGAGTAAATGCATTGACATTCTTTAGTGTGCTGAGGACTCTTATGTTCTCTGCCCCTCATTGTGAAGCAGATTTTCACATTGCAGAGCTGCCAGCTTCAAAGGGAATGCCTCCTCTCATCTCACAGTCTCTGCAATGAGCCGGAATACGGCGGTTTTTCCTGCATGCTATCCCCCTACTTTGGCCCATGTTACTAGCAGCATGACGTTGTGACGCATGAAGGGTTGGAAGCCCAACACAAGGCTCGGGTCTTCCTGACAACCCAAGCCCAGTAGAATAGTAGAAAGCCATGTCACAGATGGTTCTGTAGAAGAAAGCTGAACTACGTAACGACTCATAAAGCTCTTGGAGAGATAAGTAGTGGGAAAGGATCACAAATGATCTCACTGCACATGTTCACTATTGTTTATTAAAACTAGCAAAGAGCAAAGTAATGGAGTCTTTATTCTTCTTCCACCTCTTCAAAATTATGTGAAAGCCAATTTGGATAAAAAGATGCAGTGTTAAAGAATCAACTGAATGTATAAAGCAAGGTGGTGACAGAAGTGGGTGAGCTGGAGATGACTATGTATTGTGGAATAACAGGAGGAGGAAGTGACTAAGAGAGAAAAATGAGGAGGAACTGGAGGAAATGAAGCATGGTGTGATGAGTTTCAAGAGGAGGAGAGAAAAGGATGCTGGTTCTGTAGCATCTGTGCTAAAAGCATTCTTGTGAGAGGAAGACAGAGTGTTTTCATGTGCATTGTGCTTTCTGAATCTCTGCCTGCCCTGTTACCCCTTCTCCTTGACCACACAAACCTCCATTAACAAAACAGCATCTGTGCTCCTCTCAGCTTTGTGGCATATGCTTGCACAATATCGTGTCCACTGTCCATGTCTGTTTTGGGGTATGTCAGAAACCTTTAAGGTCAGGGTGTGCTTGAAAGTACAAAGTGCCATCTGAACACATCTAACAGCAAAAGTGTTTATACCTGTTCCAAAAAGATGAAAAGCCTGTAAAGATGCCCTGAATGTGTGCAACACAAGGTTCACCCCATATTTGTTTTTGTTATGGGATGTAATCATTGACTGTTTTATAGAAAATGCACAAATCCACGGTAACATTGCCAGTGCTTCACTCCTCTTAACTCTAGCTAATCCAAAAATGGGCAAAGATGTGGAGCATGAGTGTTTTCTAACCAGCTAGCACCTAGCCACCTGTGTTAGGACCCTCCCACCTGTCACTCAGAGGCCACGCCTTTAATTAATAGGTTACTTTTAGCCTCAAACGGGCAAATTAAAAAAAAAAAAAAAAAACTAAATTCACCCCTTTACAGCTGTCATGGAAGGAGAAATTAGCTAAAGAGACTAAAACCATTTTTTGTACCAGGCTATAGACATGTTTATTTCAGCTGTAAAGTTGAGCATTTTAACATGGGAGTTTATGGGGATTGACTCCCTTTTGGAGCCTCAAGTGGCCATTTGGGGAATTTCAGGTTTTAACACTTCCATACTGCTGTCAACTGCAACAACAGAAAAATGTGGGCGGAGTTTCAGCTGCTGTTCAACAAACTGACAGCAACTTTTATCTGAAGCATACTGACACCTTTAGGCTGCAGCCAGAAGCCTCTGCCAGGCATCAGTGAGCCAGCAGGCCAAGTTGAGGTGGCACTCCTCACTTATTTCCTGCTGTTACGGCCAACATACAAAGATTCTTGCTGCCTTCAGCTTCTTTCTTCCTCACTTTCTCACTTCAATGCCAGTTGACTCATCTAAGCAAGAATCTGCTGACAGGCTTAGTTTCAGGGTCAGCATTTGCATCTCCCAGTGGTCGTCTTGTCCAGAAGGATGCAAAATGCAAGACCACACTTTCATCAGCATGAAATCCACATTTATACACTCAAGAATGCAACTTTTATTGCAATCATTGACTTGTTGACAGTGTGAGATATGTAGGTTTATAATCTAACAGAAGCTATTGGTGCACCCGCGCGCTGCAGATAAATTGATTTCTTTATTGTCATTACACAGTAATCAATAAAATTTGGTTAGCAATCCCGTTGGAGCATTCACACACACAAAGTATAATTAATGATTCAAATATAAACAAAACCCCATACTAGGATGATTCTAGGCTCAAATATTGAACAGTAAGGTCAGACAATTCAATAAATAAATAAGGAGGTAGTTGCAATATTGAACTTGAGGATATTGCACATATGCAGAATTTCTTTGGACCCGTTTACAAATAGTGCACTATTACATGCGTACAATAACAGTCGGGACTGTAGAAGAATGTATGACATGCAGATAATACAAACAGTCCCACACTGTCAGTGCTGTTGTTGTTGTTAACGAGGTAGAAACTGTTTTTAAGTCTGTTTGTCCCTGATTTGATTGACCTGAAGCATCTACCTGAGTGGAGCAGGTCAAACAGATGATGACCAGGGTGGGATGGGGCTTTCAGAATGTTGGATGCTGTGCTGAGACAAGCAGTACTGAGTAAGTCCTCCAGGGAAGACGGTGAGCAGCCAGTGCTTTTCTGGGAGGTGTTAATGAACAGGAAGGACACCTGTCCACTGCCGAGCAGCTGGTGTGGCATGCAGAGATGCAGTGTGTCAGCATGCATGAAGATTTTTGTGAAGACCTTAGAAAACTGGTCTGCACTTTCCTCCAGCACGCTCCCATTCACACCATCAGGGCCAGCAGCTTTCCTAGGGTTGACCACTTTAATCTCACACCCACCCATCATGCACATACACAGTGAGGCTGTGGCTGTTGGTGGCTGGAAAGAAAGTAGTTTTGTTTTTGTGGGAGATTTATTAGTTACACAGTAACACAGGAAGCTGTTGCACTAATCTTACATTGGACTTGTTGCATGTGGCAGCACAAGTGTCTTGTGAAAGCTCCAACAGAGAGTGTACCGGGGGCTCAACACATGCTCAGTGGGTTTAACAGCTGTGTTTATGTGCAAGACTGTGAGGGTTCACATATATAGTAAGTTAAATTAATCAGAGATGCATCAGTTCACATATTGTGTACAACATGTTCTCAGTAATTTGTTTCATGCTCTTATGTCAGGTACCGGGGTGCCTTGGAAGCTTTGCTCAATATTAGCTGAGATAATTTAAACTGATTTTCTCAAATGAGCTGATATCAGTCCAAATAAATGCCTAATACCAACACATAGTTTTTAGTATATGCAGTATGCGTTCATATTTGTGTGTATACTCTGCATTGTAACTGTCATCCTGTGTTATAGGAGCAGGCATGGTTGTGGACTGGGAGCAGGAGACAGGGCTCCTCATGACGTCTGGAGATGTCAGAGTCATCAGGATCTGGGATGCTGACAGGGAGATGAAGGTCCAGGTATGTTACTCTCTGCACCTCTCTGTGTGGATGCCTGAACTGCTCACTCATTATTGTGTTCTGTTTATTTTGTGATGAATCAGTCCTATAAAATGAATAAATCAAAGTGTTTAAAGCCTGCACTATTGGAAGATGGAAAATTGTTGGATAGTGTTTGGTAAAGGGTTTCTATCTCCCTCTAGTTCTTAAATCCTTCTAGTCACCTTTCATGCCTTCATTTTGATGTCTTTTCTTAAGTAAAGATCATTCTGACAATTTTTGAAGAAGGGGTTTCTTAAGTAAAGATCATTCTGACAATCTTATTTTTGAAGAAGGGATCCACATATGAACTGTACAGACAACTGCACTACCCCTGTTGATGTGTTGCCGGAGTGTGTTTCCAAAACCAGACCAAATGTTATCAATAACAAAGTTGTTAATTGGGTAAAATTAGATGATTGGGTGTAAAAGTAGATCCATATTTTGAAGTTATGACTCATTTTAACATGTCTAAAGTTTCACCACACTATTGGCCCAGCTTAAAAGTTGTTTTTCCCCCGGTCTATCCATAGAAGATGACTTTGATCAGCCAATGACTTCATTTGGCACAAGCAGCAGCTCAGATTTTGCTCTTGGTCAACACTTTATGACACAACATCTCTAAAGCTAATGACAAGATACTGGCTTCAGATATACTCTGAGTCATTATTAACACTAGCATGCTAATATTAGCATGCTAACATGCTAAAGCCACATCATACAGTAAGTGTTAGCATGTTAAAAAAAGTTAGCATTGGCCACTAGTGTATTGTTTAAAGCTTGTTTTGCTAACAGTCATGGAGCAGAAATTATCAAATTATTGGTTTTTATTACATCTTCAATATGGAAGCCAAACAAAACATAGCATCCAGGAACCCAGCTGGGGAACCTTTGTTGCCTGTTGTAGCCCACTCTAACCCTTGTTTTGTCTTTTCTTAGACAGTTATAGAAATGTTAGAGGTCATATCACCATGTATTATAAATCAGTCCTGGACTTGTGAAGCTATATACTTGGGCATAAAATATTTCAGAGTAAACTTAATTTGACAGAGCTACTTCAGACTTTTCTGAAAGCTGAATTGTAATAGCATTCATGAAATTACTCTAATCTAACTCATTAAAACAAAAGTCATGCATGTGTTTCCCTGTTGCTTTTTTTTTTTTGCACCATGTACCCTATACTCACAGTGTTTTGTCTGTTTTGATAAACTAATAGAAATCTGTAGCAGAGCCAGCATCATTATCCTTTTTTCTTATTCCCTTTGTTTTTGCATATCTAATGGAGCTTGGTGAGGATCCATGTACAGATGGCCCAGCCTGGCCTGGTGCAGCATGTAGCTGCTGGGTCAAACTTCAAATGAGGCATCAGTCAGAGCACATGACTGATTTCAAAGCTTTATGTGCAATGTCAAGTTCCTTTCAAAGGTTTTAAAGTGGCATTTGCGTGTGTCCACCAGGACATCCCAACAGGAGCAGACAGCTGCGTCACCAGCCTGTCCTGTGACTCCCAGAGCTCTCTCATCGTTGCTGGTCTCGGTGATGGATCTGTGCGTGTCTTCGACAGGAGGATGGGTCCAAATGAATGGTAAAACACACTCTCTCTTGCTCTGAAATCTTACACATAATCTGTGAGCTTATCAGTGTCCTATCATAGAGAATGTTGAATTTCATCTTGAATTTACAGTTTAATTTCCCAGCTCTTTTTTCTTGTACTGTCTCATCATTATTGAAATATATCCAGGAACACACACAGCAGTTTCTGTGTGGGCGTTAACTCCTGCACAGTGCTGCATTAGTCACTTCTCTAATCTATATTTATTACATATGGTGTGCTGTAAATCTCCCCTTGGGTTTGCCACCTCTTTAATGGGGCGTGGTGGCACTGTACTGTATCCCACAGCTGGTTAAACATTATTTTAATTCAAGTCCCAAAGGGGAGAAACAAAGCAGTTAGACCATGAAGTGGCCCATAAATCTGTAAGTAAAGCTAATTTAATAGTTGCTCTCAGATGTGGAGTTAAATCTTTCAGCACACATGACAAATTGATAGGGGAATATTTATGGTTTTGTATGTTGAACATATGCAACAGTTTACAAGTTGTGTTTCCAGCTTTAGCTTGTTTTCTGGGGAGCAAATTGAAAAATTGCTGTTATTCGTTCTTGTTATTTCTTCCTCTTATGCTTTTTGTTTTCAGTTCAAGAAGAAAAGAGTGTTGTCCTCATGATCACGTTTCCTCACACCTGTTGTCAGAATGTGTGGTTTTATTGTGTAGTGGGTAACTTCAGGGACAACTCAGTTGCAAAAAGATACTTGGATGATTTTTATTTCAGTGCTCATGCCATCTCAACATCCTCAGGAGCGACTTAGCACTTTCTCAGTCATAAATATGTGGTGCCACCCAGTGGTTCCTCTTTTGTATTACATGTTCAAGTCACTGCTGTATACTGTAAAATGGAGCTTACACAGTAAGCTTCGATTTTCTATGACATGGGAGGAAGGTCTTCAACACATTTGTACAAGTTCAAATAATTAAACACTGTTTAATTCAGTTCAAACTGGTACTGATACAATTTCAGAATAAAACTATGGACAGCTCTATGCAGACTGCTTTGGTCCTCACGAGCAACTTTAAGCCATAGTTTTTCTGTCTTAGAACTCAACCCTCTTGATCTGCTGTAACATTTTGGTAATATTGAGCTAGTGCTTACATCTAATGTAAACCCAGATCCTCCAATAATAATTTAATAAGCATCCTTGGTTCGGCCACTCATCACAGCAAATTATGTAATTAATGCAGTAATAGGAATAGTCGCATATTAGAAGAAAACTACTGTCATAAACATGAAGAAAAATACTTCTCTGACGTGGTTGCTTCTCTTCCTGAGACCCTGTGGGTGTTAACAGTAAGTTCTCAATTTGATATGCACATTAACTACCAACAAGTTAAAGCTTCTCCCATCAGTTAATCACAGCACCTGTGATTGCACCGCAAAAGAACATAAGAATATATATTTATGATTCCTCTGATTTATAATTCCTCACTGAAGTGTTTTCCCAGCGCATTTTGTTACCTTCCTAGTCCTGTTTGGATGCATGTTACAGAAACATAAGCTAAACAGCTGTGCGTTAAACTTTAACAGAAATGGGCGAACAAACCGGACACACATATTTAAAAGCAGCCACATCATTGGAACCGTTAAAGTCTGGTCTTGTTAAAGTAGACCATGATGTTTGAAAACATATGTAACAAGTATAGATTTCTTATAAATAAATAAAGTACAAATCTCACCTTTGTGTTAATTATACCTCTATGTTAAATCTGCTTTTGAAACTAGGCTCTAAAGTACAAACATTTTTGTTTTGTTGAATCTGTTAAATAATACATCCATGTATTGCTTTTTCTTCTCCCTTTCCTTTAACAGTGTTCAGAATGTACTGTAAAATAATGTCATTATTCATGCAGTGGTTTGGCAGTACTACACCTGAATATGGGAAAGTCAAGTACTTGACGTGAAGTTAGGACAGTTTACATTTTACACTTGAGCATTATTTCACAGTATTGTACAAATAAGACAATGTTATTGAGGGAATTTGGCGGTACTGGGTGACAGGGTGGGGTGGTTTCATCTCCATTTTGCCTTATTCCTTAATTTATGTGTTTCCTGTTATTACTACTGTTACTGTATTGGGTGGATTATTTTATAATACATATTCTGATTTAATAATTGTTGCATATTTTGGGGTTTTTTCCGGTGTTTCAAGTTTCAGAGTACACACTGTACTGTAGTTGCTGCTGTACACAGTGTCATGGCTCTGGTTAAACTGTGTTGTTGTGTACGTGTGTGTGCAGTCGGGTGATGACCTACAGGGAGCATGGAGCCTGGGTGATCAAAGCCCATCTACAGAGGGAGACAGATGGACATATCATCAGTGTCAGGTCTGCTTTTTGTCTTTCTACTAAGATTCAAACACAGTAACATACACTAGCTGCTTTGTTGCCTGTACTGACTTTAATGCTCCCCAACAGTGTTAACGGAGACGTTCGATTCTTTGAACCGCGGTCGCCAGACTCCATCAATGTGCTTCAGACGGTAAAGGGGTTAACAGCCCTGGACATCCACCCACAGGCTAATCTGCTTGCCTGGTGAGTTTTTGTGTAGACGCAGGTCGCATTCCAAAGAAAATATCATCAGGTGTTTACAGTTTTAAGATCCTACCAAGTGTTCTTCCTCTTGTGTTTCCATACTTTGTTTCCTTTGTAAGTAAGAGTATAGATAAAATGTGTTTTATATATATGTGTTAGATATAATTTGTTCAGAACAAAATGACACAACAGTCAGTGGAAACCAAAATCATCACCCCATGGAGGCTGGATTCAAAATCACACTGAAAATCAAAGTGAATTAAATCACAGTCTCATGCTCACTGGGCCCTCATACCACACTCATGGAGTCTGTTTCTGACAGTTTGGTCAGAAAGATGTACACCAGTAGTCTGCTGGAGGTCTTTCTGTAGGGCTCTCACAGTGCTCCTCTTGTTCCTCCTTGTACAAAGTAGCAGATACCAGTTGTGCTGCTGGGTTTTTGCTCTTCTACAGCCCTGTCCAGCTCTCCTGGTCTAACAGCCGGTCTCCTGGTATCCCCTTCATGCTTTTGAGACTATGCTGGGGGACATGGCAAACCTTGAGATTGCATGTATGGATGTGCCATCTTGGAGTAACTGGACTAACTGTGCAACCTGACTGGGCTGCAGGCACTGCCTCATGCTACCAGTAGTGACAAGGACACTAGCAAAACACAAAACCTGAGAAGAATCAGTCAGGAAGGATCAGAGCATTTGTCTGTGGCCACCACATGCAAACCCATTCCCCTTTTGGGGGGTTGTCTTGCTTTTGCCCCTCTATTGCTCCTATTGTCAAACCAAAGCAGGTGCAACTGATTCACAATCACTTGTGCTTCCTAAATGGACAGATTCATATCTCTGAAGTTTAAGTGACTTGGTGTTATACTGTGATGAGCAAGTGTCCCATTAATTTTTTTAGCAATATATTGTGATTACCCTGATGGACAACCTCCATGAGGTTAATTTCCCCAGTGAAGAAATCACACACTCTGCATATGATTTATGAGACTGAGACACTAAATCTTTTCTCTCTCTCTGACTTATCCTCTGCCCTCCAGTGGATCAATGAACCAGTTCATAGCAGTCTACAACACTAACGGCGATGTGATCAGCAACATAAAGTACTATGATGGCTTCATGGGACAAAGGATTGGGGCTATCAGCTGTTTAGCCTTCCATCCTCACTGGGTAAACCAACACTGATGATTACATGTCACCACAGATTTCTTGCAGTTTTATATCTGGGCCTCTAAAGTTTTCAGAGTTTGGTAGTTTATAACAGTGCCTTATTTCTAAATAGAATGCTCTCAACAGATTGTGTTTACTAGACTCTGGTTTGTGTCATATCTCGTGTAATAACCTGCCTTTTCCCTGTCTCCCTCCAGCCCCATTTGGCAGTCGGCAGCAATGACTACTACATGTCCATCTATTCAGCAGAGAAGAGGCTCAGATAACACACCAGCATTAACCCCCCGCCCCCCACCAAATCACCACATATGACTTCTGACCCTGAGCCACGAGCTCCAGGGTGTAAATAAATGTTTTGTTGTACATATGCAACTACCACTCTGAATGTTCTAGTGATGGCTGCTGACAAAAACTCATGCTATGAACAATTATATATATGTCATCATCATATTATTATTATTATTATCATTGTGTATTCATATTCTTATTATGAAGCTAATGATTGTAGACTTGGCTGTGCTGAGGAGTGCATATATTTAAATAGCATATACAGAAGAAGAGAGGTTCTATTTTAAAAAAAAGTGGTACCCACTGATGACCTGGGCTCCTCCTCACCCCTCGGGAAGCTTCGCTACCTGAATGAACTGGGACCCACACCAGATGTGGAGAGTGAGGGGCCACCCAGGAGAAAGCATTCACTGATGCAGGAGACACAGACCCACCCTCCACTGGGCCCCAGTGTGTTTAAAAATGAATTTTAATGGCTGACTCTCAGCCAAAGGACAGGTGTTTTGCTGTACTTTGCTACATCGGAGTCAAGATGTTCATAAGGACACGCCCAGAGATATTGGACTGTGCTCATTCTTGCTTGACTCGTTGATGAGTGTATGTTTGTGTGTGTGTGTGTGTGTGTGTGTGTGTGTTAAAATGAATTGCAGCACAGACGTGCCCCACGGGGGGGCTTCATAGCCCTGAGGTTTCATGCCCAAAAAGCCACCTGTTCCCATGCTAGGACTCTCCTTGCTACCTTGACCCAGGGTGCCATATTTTCCATGTGAGCCCTTTGTAGTGGCTCAGAGGGGTGTTTTTGTTGGTTCTTTGTTGTTTTGTTTTGTTTTTTTACTTATAATAAGGGAAAACCTCCTTTGCCCCTAGGATGATACACACCCTCATATCTAGCACGGTGAGAGGAGGCTGGGATTGCTACAAACGAAGCACCCAGTCGTACAGGGAGCCTGCGGACCTGCCTGCTCTGCTAAGCAATAAAAACTCCCTTTGATTCAGCTTCAAGCTCCTTCCCCCATGTTTCCAATAGAAACACCAGCTATCAGCCTTCATTTTCAGGTGATAGCAGCATCGCATGCCATGAATAGTTTGAGATAATTGTAGCAGCCCAGGACCCCGGCCTGAAGCACCCAGAGGTGCCACTCTACAGCAATACAAACACACCCATTTCCATTCAAAACACTGTCATTCCTTGGAGTGTCTCTTGACATACTTAGAGTAACAAATGACTGTTTTTTACCCCATCTGCACACTTCAGTGACAGGAAAGATATCAATTAAATAGATTTTCCTGCCATTGTCTAAAGGTTCTGCTGATGCACACGTCCACATCCTCCCCGTGTGGAATGTACAGTAAAGAATCCAAAGAAGCTCAACAAATCCTTGTTTTTGACACTAGTCCCATCTGTTGTTTGTTTGCTCCTTACAGTCTGTGTCCTTCTGGTGACTGGAAAGTATAAATAGAAGCTTACTTATTTCCAAATAGTCTGGACACCTTTCAGGTTTAGGTGATGTGGCTCTTCACAACCAAGGATCGTCTGTCACACCACAATTTGGACGGTTTCTCATTTTAAGAAATCCTTCTACAAGGTTTCCCCTTTTAGACTTCGTTTCATTTTTACTGCCAGATTTGTATGGTTTGATTCTGTTTAAGAAAGTTGGAGGCATAAAATGTGCAGCACGTTAAGGTGGAGGTGTAGGAGCTGTGGCATTCCCTGTAACCCTGTACCTGCTCGTGCACGCTGCTTTGGTCAGTGTTCCAAATCTCACCCAGGTCCTCCTCCGCAGTGTCTGCAGTGTGGTAGACCAATGGTTGTGATCCCATGACCTGGTGCAGAGATTGTGGAAATGTGTTTTCAAATCATGTTAATGTAAATGACATTGTGGTGCTGTTTGGTTAAGTAGGCCTCTGATTTAGAACAAAGGCTCTGACTGTGGTTTGTTTTTTGTTTGTGTGGTATCACCATCAACGTGCCCCTTCTCTGGGGCCGCAGCTTTGCTTGTTCAGCTTATTTTAATTTCATTTTGTGTTTTATAATTTTGTGTTTTTAAATCTGCCAGATTTTAGTTGCCTTGGCCTCAGTGAGGTGACAGGAAAAAAATGTGCAGACAGCCCTACCCTTCCCTCACACACACGCACACTCACTGCACATAAGTCCCTCCAGCCATTCCCCAGTAGCCACCCCCTCCTTTCTTTCCTGCCACGCCTGTCTTAACCCTCTCCATCAGGCATGCCAAGCGCAACTTTTACCACAGGAGTGGACTGAAAGTGAACTGGGGACACGCACCATAGAGTTTGGATGAGCTGCTGCAGTGGCAGTTACCATGTTAGTCCCCACCATCAGCAACCATCCCTGAGCTTGTCTGAGCTCTCTGTTGTTAATCAGGCAGCCGCTGCTTCACGGTTTCATCCAAGATAGTATGTTTTTGGCCTCTGGCTCATTGGTGAGAATCACATTCATCTCTGAGTTCTTGCTTTGAGTTTTAAGATCTGGAGAAAAAGAAGATAATTTAACAAAGTAGTAAGAATGGAAAAATGAAAGCAATCAGGTTTGTCTCTGAGTGTAGACTGTGGTTTATAAGACAGGAGATGAAATCAGTGAAATAAACCAAATACAACACTGGATGTAGTCTGTTTCTGGCTTGTTGCTGCCACTGTGTCCTCTGTTACTTTGGTCTGAACTGTAAACCCTTAACTGTTTTTTAGGCCTAGATTTTTTTGTGGATAACCTAAAATAGAAATATTAAAATTAAAGATGTTAAACAGAATTTTTGAGCTATTGGTAAAGCACTGAGAAGATTCTCTCAAAATTAACACTGTAAATTTGGTTTGGTGTTTGGAAGCCTCTACTGGGAGAAATGTACACATATTTAAAATGAAAAGAAATTATAAGCCCTCATAAACAGAATTATCAGAGAATAATAAAGGAAAATTCTATGGATTTTGCTTTTGTGCACATTTAATTCATTTAGTATTTCACAACATCAATGTTGAGGGACCCATACGACACGGGAAAAAAGAAAACCTGGTCAAAACTGTAGCAGTTCAAAAGAAGATGGACTGGCTTTTAACCTTTAGTTTGGGTCATGCCTAAAAAAACAACCCAGTAACATTATAAGGGTCATTTTTTTCCAAATTCACAAAGCACCTCCGACTGCAAGCTTAAATATATTTTGTAGGAAATGTCATTTGTGGATGAGTTATGTTCAGAGGTAATGTTTTTGAACAGATGAAATGTGGAATGTTGGCTGTGAACATTTTACTGATTCCTTCAGTGTCGACAGTTTTCAGAATTTTTAGCCTTAATGTGCATCAGCATGAACAAAGCTGAAGTCTGTAACTGGAATAAACAGAACGTTAACTGGCTTCCTGTCAGATTTAGAATTCCTTCTAAAATAATACTTTTAGATGATAAAGCCATACTTGGTTTAGCCCCATCCTGTCTTTCTCAGCTTCTTCCAGCCGGGTCACCAGGCCCATAGACCAGTCTCATCTGGCTGTTCCTGAGGTTGAAAAGCAGAGGAGAGCATGTGTTCTCTGTAGTGGCTCCTAAACTCTGGAATGATTTGTCTTTGTTTGTTAGACAAGCTCCCTCCCTTCTTGTTTTTAAGTCTCAGTTGAAGACTGATTCTTTCCCTGATCATCAGCATTTGTAGTTTTTATTATGATGAATAATTTTGTGCATTGCTGAGGTTTGTTTTATGATATTTTTTATCATATTTAAATTTTATGTTGTGTTATTGATTCTTTTTTGTCGTTTTCTTTTATTGTGTTGATTTTATCTTTGTACAGCACTTTGGTTGGAATTTTGTTGTTTTAAAAGTGCTCTATAAATAAAAATATTATTATCATGTTGTATAGTTTAGTTTAATAAAGTAAAATCTACACCCAATATTAAAAGCTGTTAGTTTTCAGAAGTCCTCTTCATAGAGTTCACTTTAAGAGTCATGTTGTTCTGTGGAGCCCCACAGTGTTCTGTTGTGAAAAGCCTAAATATATCAAGCTTAATAAAAATTTTAATAGGGTTGAATATGTAAATAAAGGAATAAATTGTGGAGTTTTTTTTTTTTATCAGGGCATTACAATGAAAAGCAAAGTCACTGTCATGAATTATTATATTGGTATGTATCACATGATATGCAACTTAAGTTATGAGAAAACAAATGTATAATTTTCTAGTTGCACACTAAACATACTACAGGCCTACACCTGCTGTGTGCTGGAAAAATGCTGGAAAAATGCACCAAAGCATCCGTTAACCAGTGGTTTATGGGACTTTCAAACTCATTACCTATGGAAAGGTTTGCATCAGTATTAAAGAAAAAATCCAAAGACTCCGAGAAGATGTGGAGACTAATTACCTTTGTCCTGTTATTTAAGTTCAGATGAGCTTTACATCCATGGTTTCCCTTATTTCTTCTTTCTACTTCTTTTCTTTCTGTGAATATTTTTGATGGGTAAGAACGATTAACTCCCTGTGGAGCCGTGGGAACATGAATGGGCTGAAGCTCCACTGTCATAGATAGGTAACATTCTGAAATAAACCTGTGGTAAATGCCATTATCAACTAAAAACACACTTGTGTAAAAAGACAAATATTTTTTATGTTTTACATGATGTATTAGCCTATGTGTTTCATAATGTTTTATTTGTTTCATTTGTTTTAACACTCTGGGGCTCCATTTTATTCGGATTGCTTCATTCAATTTACATCTTTAGTTGTCTGGGTACGCCTGGGTAAGTCATGATGGAAAGTATGAGCAGCAGTGAAAACTGTTCCACCTACGTGTTTCTGTAAGAGCCAGCCTCAGATTTATGTTTTCAGTAGCTAAGCTAAACCATCATCTTCACCTCAGGAAATGTGCTGTGCACAAAGGATGGCCTTTCCCATCTTGTTCTCTCTACCTGCTCAGTCCTACTAGCCAGAGTCAGAGGTCAAAGGCCTGACCACTGCACCCCAAGCCATACAACATTACTGCGACTACCATTTCACACACACAGAGAACAGGGGAGAACATTCCACAACAACGAAGCGCCGGGCAGCTCCAACATCCTGAGGAAACAACACTCACTTCCTGTTAAAGCAACGCCAGCGGCTGCTCGGGGTGATAACCACCACCACTGGCCGATCAGTGTGTGACTGAGGTAGAGCGCCACCTTACTGTCCGCCCCCACCCCCCCACTCGCACCACCCTTTATCCAGCTTAGTCACAAGTCCCTTAACCTTCAGGACAGTCAGCAGCGTTGAGACCATCAGGATGGGCCACCTACTGTTACTCACCTTCACACTCCTGTCCAGTTGTAAGACTCCTGAATGTTAATTTCCTTCTACAGGAACTCTGTGGATTTCCTATGTTTGGGAGATTGCTAGATTTGTCTCTAATCTGGTGCTTTCTTATCTTCCAAGATTTCCATCTGCTGAGATTGGTGGACGCACAACGGCGTAAGTATGATTTCTGCATCAGCATGCTTTCATCTCTGCAGTACATTTATAATTATGTTCGTCTTTACATAGAGATGTCTTACTGAATATTTTCCACAGAACATGGTTTCAGCATAAGGTGGCATTTAAAAATAAGTGGTTTCTGTGGAGCAGCATTGCTTTACTTTTCATATTGGAAAGGTTTTAGAGCATGAGTTGGAATACTTTTAACTCAGCCGTCAGCCACTGAAACAAACAGACAAAGCTAAGAGAGACGCATGGTCAGTCAGTGGAAAGAGTCCTGTTTGTTATCAGAAACGTTTGATCGTTGGTGTCTGGTACAATGAAAAAGTAGTGGGAGGAAGCGTTGGGAACGTGTTGGCGAGCGGTGTCACACGCCTCCCTCTCCTCTGGAGTTGGTTGGTGATGGAAGGCATGAGTCAGTTCCTATCAGCTTTGGTAAAAAAAATGAAAATCTTGCTCAAGCTGGGGCCAAATTAACAAGTCCTGCCTGGAAGTAAATTGTATTTCCTGTACTGATGTGACCTGTATATATTCTTCTCTCATTTTGTTAAATTATAAGGTTTTTAGAGGCTTGAAGGGGTAAATGATCCAGTATTTCACAAGAAAAATGGGTAGGGATGGAAAAAAGATAAGCAACTTAATGAACTAATTGTATAACCACCGGAACATGAATCTAATCTCTGTCGCTACACCATAAAGGTCTGTAAAAGGAAAATGAGAGTTTTCTGGAGCAGCTGTCAGAATGGGCTTTTTAATAAAAGGCCAAAGTAAGACATGAAATACAGACCCACCATATAAATAACACTTTATTGGCATTAAATTTGAAGGTCTAGAACTCGTATGAAACATAAAAAGTTGGGAAACTTTCAGGGGTTTCACATTGAGAAAAGGATTTAGAGAAACAATCACATTTTGTGTAGGTAATTGTAATGTCTTTCTTATCTTGTTGATCATTTTTACAATCCTTTTAAGAGACCAATCCACAGGTTGGGCTCTGCTCAAGAGAAAAAAATGCCGTGTGTGGTTAGGAATTAGACATTCTTATTAAATATAATTCTTTTCCCACACATAACTGACAAAAACTATTTACTATTATTTTATTTTGGCTTCATCTACACCATCCACCATATCTGTACACTTAAAACATCAAAAACAAAATGGTCCCTGTGACTGACATATTATCTGAAATTATTAAATTGTTAATGCATCAATGTATAAGTGTCATTTTACTGTTGTAGTTGGTGTACTTTTAATATAGTATTTTAATGTTTCCTATTTAGGGTCATATATGGAATTTAAAGGATTCTAATATGATTATTAGGGTATTTAAAAAGAAAAAAGAACACAAATGTATTTTCTTTTTTTCTTATTGTTTCTTTAATCTTTGATATTTTATGAATGAATGGATCATTTTCCCTCTTTGTGCCTAAATGAAGCCACCTGTGGTGCAGGTCTCAAGACCAAGCTGAAACAACTGGTTTAAATAAATAATACAATTTCTTTAGCGCATCAAATGTTTTTATAATATATAATCTTAAATCTGATCTTAATCTGAAAACTTAGCTATCAGACAAATGTAGCACAGTAAAAAGTCCCATATTTCTATCTCAAATGTAATGGAGTACAAGTATAAAGTAGCATAAACGTATTCAAGTAAAGTACAAATGAATCCAACTGTACTTTATGCACTGTATGGAGCGCCCCACACAGCGCTCCTGTAGCACTGCCAGGAGCGGTTGAATGATGCTGGGTGTGGGCTAGATTCAGCAGGTCCTGGTACAATGATAGGTGCCCCGAGTGACCTCTGGGTCACACCAGCAGCCAGTTGTCTCCAGTATTCAACCACCTGTATCAGAAAAAAAATTAGGCCGGAACTAGAAATAAAAGAACAAACATTAGTCATGTTAGCAGGATCAAATTTCTGTAGTTACTGTATAAACAGGCAGCATGGCTCTCTGGCATTTCCTGTCACTGATAGTTAACAAGCTATTTTATTCCATTAAGTGTCAGCTCAAGAGACCCTTTGGTGGCGCACACATGGTGCACAAAGCCAAAGATAGAGTAACAAATCAGGAATTTCCCTCACACAATTTAAACTGGCTATGCATGCGCCACCAAATTTGCATAGCCAGACCTGTACGCAACACTGAAGGCCCAGGTTAAAAATGTTTTTGCAACTTACAGTAATTTTAATTGTAACAAATATAGGTTTAATGGAGGCTATTTTATGTCATATTACCACTATTGAAGCCTCTCCATATGATTGTACAGTTTCAATCTGGCTCATTCAAAAACTGGGCATCAGAGGCCACATGCAGTGTTCATGTTACGAAGTTGGTTAACTGCATTACAGTCCTATCTATACACTTAGAGCTGACTACTGTTGCTATTTTCCTCACTGGTGGTTGCATGTAAAAGGAGTCTGTTCAGTGCAGCGGTCTTTTCATTCTCGTACTGCTCACTGCATGCAGGTAGCAACTTTTGGCAGCAACAACAACATCACCTGTATGTGTTAAAGGGGAAGGCCTGACCTGTAACAGTAACACGTATGCCTGCAACTGTAGCGCCTTGTGGGAGACTCTTGACATTGAGTGCATGGGCCGAGTGTGTGCAAGTAAGAAGTTAGGTTGACAGTTGTTTTGTTTGGGATGGGTAAAAAAAAAATGTCAGTCCTGCTGCTGCCATCTTTTTCTCTATGTTGTCAGTGCCTTTAATGTATTTATTGCCATCTGGATGAAAAGAGAATTTCAAGGTTTGTAACAAAAAAAATGCTTCTGAAAAGAATGGCCAACCCTACCTTTAATACCTTTGCACTTAAAATAGTTTAGACATCATATGACAAGTATTAATAATTAGAATCTACAGTCTCCCACTGGGGGAGGTCTGATAGTATTCCATCTTGGCCATTAGTGTTGCTAAGGGTTTATCTGGACTAAAGCATAACTTAAGGGTTTACAGGGATGTATGCTTTCAGAATAGGAGTGTCAGGTATCTGAACCAGTTCTTCTCTCTCTACACTCCTTACTAAAGGCTGATAGATTGAATAGGTATCTACTTCCTTTCATTTTTTAAACTGTCACCATGAATCAAAATAAAATCCC